AGCGTGAATCATTTTTTATTGGATTGTCGAAGCTGAACTTGCGTTTCTTTCAGTGAAGGACATATGAGGTAATGTGCTTACTGTGCAGTAGCGGACTATCGAGTTTTTAGACATATGTAAAGTATTAAGTATAAGTAAATACGTTGGAAGAAATTTCGTTCTTAATTTAATTATACAATATTAAAAAGTGCAAGGAAGATATTAGTGAAAAAGATTAGAAAAAAAACAGAAACGATAAAAAAACGGGTATGAAATAGGAATAACAGATTGTCTTTTATACGGGTTGAAGAGTACGTATTTATATTGATCGTAAAACTCATAAATGACGGAGAAAGAACATAAATCAAGAACATTAAATAAGAAATTGTCGTTCGTGATCTCGTGGGGATTATGACAAAGAAGTAACGCGCAAATTCACCGCTGCTCGTATGCATCTCTCAAATTAATCCCATCTGCGATGCTCGTGTTGCTCGTAAATAAGCAGTCCTTACCGAGACAATCCCGCGGCCATGTGCGGATCGTAACGATCGATCGGGCCATAAAACTCGTTCCTCGGCGACGCAAAATAAATTCCGCGCTCGAAATTACGATGAAATATTTCATTTCCGCGGGCGGTCGATCGGTCGAGCGGGCGGGCTGCGTTTAATCCGCTTCTGTTCCGTTCCGTTTAATTTGCTTAAACGAGTCGCGCGCGCGATCGCTTTATCGCCTCGCGTTCTCCGACGTGCCCTGACCATCCTTATATCACGAGAGACAAAGCGCGCACGGTGTACATCGTGAATGCACGGCGACGCGCGAGCATGCGGTAGCACGGGATCGCGGCATTAATAATTCATACTCCGCGCGCGAGCAGAGTGTGGAAGGGTTAGACTTCTGGGCGTTATAAATATTTAGATCGTCATGGAGATCGCGAGCGCACTTGGGGAACGAAGCCAAAAAGACGAGAGACCGCACAGAGAGGATACAACGAGATGGAAAATACGTGGACCAAAGTCAAGAGAGGATTATTTAGGATTATTTCCGTAGAAACTGAATGAAGTCACGCGACAACACGATAACGTGTACACACAAGTTGTCCGAGACTTAGCGAGTCAATATTTCATTGCGAGTTCTTTTTTGAGCAATTTAGGCCTTATTTGTCTCAATGAAAACGTCGTTTGTCACGAATTCGGTCGGATCGTCAATTTCTGCCTTAAATATTGTATTAATGATTGCGTAAGTTTTTGTGTGAGATTATGTCTGTGGTTATTGCTGACGTCACGTTAAACACATGTTCGTCTTGGACTTCCTGTTAAAGTTCCACGAATAAATCACGCGATATTTTTTTCACGGAGAAGCACAATAATTATTATAATTGTTCTCTTACTTGGTATGTGTAATGCAAAAAAGTATATCACTAAATGGAATATTCTCATTGCCATTGATTATCGACAGTTATAGACTGATTAAATATAGTCTTCTCAAGCGCGATGTTTATACGGCAATCCATTACTCACAATCGCTGACATTTTTGCAAAAGTCTCTTTCGAGGGGAAACATTATCTCGCGTTCCTCGAAATTGCTTTTTGTGCCGCGCAGGAGAATTACAACTTGCGCGAATATTGTAATTAAGAGCCGGTGCCTGGACTGGTTCTGATTACGTTCGATCATTCTCTTGATTATACGGGAGCGAGACGGTTGGATGTCAATTAAATCGTTTGCTTATATATATTGCATACACAATTTTTTTCATAATAATCACTTATAAACACACTTTTGAGATTCGCATGCAGCTTCTGCGTGACGCATTTATACCGGTAAATTGGAATTAAGTCGTCTTCAAAAATTGACGGCAATTTCGGCTGTCTCGTCTCTTTTTTTCTTTATTCCCTGATATTAATCTCTTCTTATATCAAATTATTATTAATTTTTTATATTGAATATTATAATTTTTTGTATATTTTGAGTACATATAATATAAATGTAAAATATAACAGAAATCAGAAACGCACAACTAAGTAGCTAAATTTAGACAATTATATTTTTATATAGAAATTTTATGTTTATTGCCGGTAATAATTGTACAATCTTTCGAAAGTTCTGTGTGTCATTCAATATTACGATAAAGAATACTCAACACTCGCTCTCTCTCTGATAAAAGTAGCGGTAAAAGTGCATTGCTAATGTAAAAATTAAATACAAAATGTTACGTGTATACACTTTGGCCAATGCGTTACGTAATGTGAAACACTATTAATTATGAAATAATTTTCCGCAAATTACATTTCCACATGTATAGTATGCTGATGGGAAGACTTTCGAAAAGCTTCGTTAGCCGATCGACGATTTTGCATTATCGCAGCAATAAGAAATCGTAACGCATCGTTGATCTGTTTATATTGATTCGATAATGAACTAGTTGAATCTATTACCGGCGCGATATTGGGAACGGGCGAGAGTGAATTTCAAGCCCGAGTTTCCGAGGGACAGAAATAGCGTTGAAAACCGTTTTCCCTCCGCAGAAACTCTCCGGCGGGAAACGTCGTCGAGCGTTACAACTTACAACTCGTCCGAGGCCTTTTCCAACTACTTGCGCAATAAGAAAATACGCGCGTATGAAATAAACTCGTGAATGCGTCTTACGCAATCGCGCAAGTGCACCGTGAGACTGAATCTTAGAATCAAATTTCTCTCTCTCTCTCTCTCTCTTTCTCTGTCATTTTTTAAAATAATTTCATTATACGTATATTAGCAATACCTTTTATATCCTTAGGCCATTAGCTCGACTGGCACAAAATCGTCGTATTGATCCCCCGTTTTGTGAGAATGCATCTTTCGCATTTCCTTTCCGATACTTCATTCCCTCGCGATCCCTCGATAAATTGCTATCCTGACGCGACCTTTCTTATTTCCTGACCTCGGAACCTTGACCCAGGCTTTCTCTCACGACAGTCGATCAATCAAATGGTAGACTATACTCATACTACAATATTGATTAATCGCGCAATTCCGACGAAATTAAGGCAATTAATTAATCGCCACTTTTAACGTGCATTATTACTCACATGCGAGAATATCATTTGCGCTTAATGTACGATCGAACACCCAGTATACACACCGCTGCTTACATAAACTGCTAACTCAACTGGCCGCTCTGAATCATCGGACATTAGTCAGCAAACGTCGGTGGAGCAGAATTATCAATCTTTACGTTAACAAAATGCTCGTTCCCTCTGCAATTTCAATGTACGAAATGATCGGCGATATTACGCGCGATTAAGTGTTGCATACTCACTTTACAATTTTTTCTCGCGTGCCGCCGCAGCGATAGGAAATTAAGCCGACGTCGGAATTAATCCATTTCATTTCGCGGGGTTGCGAAAAAAATCAATTGTACGGCGAAATATGCCGATTTCCTCCAAGGTTCACGAGTTACGGGCTTCTCGATTGCCGTTGCATAATGCTCGAACGGCCGAACGATAATCCGCCGCCTATTACCGTACCATTGAAAAGTGTTTCCCTATTAGAGAGAGGCAGCCCCTTGCGCCCTAACGTATTACATCCATCCGGCGTAAGAGCGCGCGAGATCGATCGCGGCACATTAGGCGGCGGTAAATTGAAGTTCAATACGGTCACGATGAAATCACTCGGCGGAATGCGCGCTTTTGCCACGTCATAATCTGTCTTTTTGCCGCGCGCAGTTTCATTTCCTCCTTCCCTGATCGATGCCGATCATTTCGCCTTAATGCGACGGTGCTTTCCGAGTTTTACCCCACATTCATTTTACGAAGGGGAGAATCTGCCGGAGAAAAAATGGATTTCGTCTATATAGAGGCAACTTCCTTTTCATCTTGCTCGCGCGCGCAACGTGCCCCGGGAATATTTTCTCTGCGATTTACCTCACAGTCTTCCTCCCCTCTGTTTTCAGATTAACCTGTGGAATAAACCAGTGCGGAGGAAAACGCGAGTAGACTGCGCTATTCGTTCGCAAGTTTCGCGATAGATTCGGCGGAGCGTGCGGTCAAACGATGTAAAGGGAAATGTAATTTGCTCGATAATTTCGTAGTACTGTTGACACGGAAGAGAGAAAGAGGGAGGAGGACAAATCGTGTAATCGCGCAAGCGCGACGGAGAGAGCGGAAGAATAGAAAAGAAATAGAGAGACGTGCGATAGGAAAAGCAAGAAGAAAGAAGAGGAGAGGCGCGTCGCGATCGATCGGATCCGATCGGATTAAAACTCTCTCCCGGTCGATAGTTTCCTCCTTGATAGGTTCGTCAGAAAATTGTCCGGATCACCTCTTTATTCCCTCGGTCTCGATAGATCGCCTCGGTGTTGCGGCCGACGTCTCCTGTCTACTTTCTATCGCCCTGAAACGTATCCCGAGGTACATCGCCTAGCCGCGCGGTAAAATCCTCCGAGAAACGAGTTTTACGGCCGATTCTCTCTCGACGAAACGCGACGAAACGAGCGTAATTACGCGAGGATAGTACCGCGCGCGCGCGCGCGATCTACTCTCGTGCGCCGCCTCTTCCTTTTTCCTTCGCTCTACCCCCTCTCCAAACCGTCTTCGCTTCGATTAGAAGAGGAACGAGGCTTGCAAAACGGGAACGCCGGGAGTGCCGTTTAATCGCGGCGGCGAACAATCATCGATCGAGCCGAACGATCGATTCGACGAAGGCGCGCGATCTCGGAAACTATCATTTGTTCGCTCGAAAGACATTATCGCGCGGTGGTTTTGTCACCGGCGGAAGCAATTCAGATGTGGACGTTTTGTAGCCGGCGATTTCAACGCAATTGTTTTCGCGCGAAGTTACATAAATTGCCGAATCAAAAAGAAAATTGAAACAAAGGCAACGAATTGAAAAGGGGGGGAAAAAAAAATTTATGATTACCGGATCGCGTCCTCGTTTTCCGCGTTTCATCTTCGCGAGATGGGAAAGCGAGAGAGGCGATCTATGAGGTCGACCGAGATTAAAACAGACGGAGCTTTGACGACAGCGTGCGCTATTTTCTGTTACAGCAGCAGCGATCGTTCGCGCCGTTTCGAGGGTGGGTTGTCCGACGAGCTCGCGAAATAAGTGAAGGAGGAAACGGGCGTATCGGAAGGAAGAAAAATACAGATATCCCGTCGAGTCCATCGCGCGCTGTTTATCCTGGGAATCGAGCCGAGCGCGCGGGCGCCTCGATACTCCGTGCAATTGCGCCGACGACGAAGGAACGGAAGCAAGATCCTGGAAGGATCGGACGGAAGGAAAACAACGTACGCGATACACGAGGGAGGATATGTATCGGGAGCCGAACAGTTCGTCGGGCAGCGGCGCGTCTACCAAGGGCGACGAAGTCGAGCTCGTCAGTAGATTCCTGGCGCCGCTCTGCGCCAGGGACGAGGCGGCCAGGAACATCGCTCTGGCCGCGGCCAGGACAACCGTCGAAGGATGGCTGGGTGGCGTCGGCAGTCCCAATCGCTGGGAGGACGTCGGCGACATCGAGGACACCCAGAACGCGGTCGGGAAACTCTGCAGTCAGGACGGAAGGTAAGTGTGTTTGTATATATTTGTTTAACTGTAGAATCATTTCTTCGTTCGAATTTATTTTGACAAATTGGGCAATATGAAATATTTCGTTTTTATTTTAACGCTATTAGGAGAAAATAATAAATTGTCGTTGTCTAGGAAATTTTCTAAAGGTTAAAGAATATTGTTTATTAATTGTAATCATGTGTTGCTTCAAATATATTTAGAGAACTACGTGCAGGATTGTTGTAAAACACTATATTGGATCGATATAACATCGCAGAGGGTTAAAGATAGACGTTATAAAAATACCGCTCCTTTCGAATAAAATTATATTGCATTGTGAGGGAAAAGTGATATTCGATTTTATTTATTTTTGCTTATTTTTAATTATGAAGCGAAATATTTATATTTCTGGTCCATATTACATATTGTTTTCAAGTTTATTTGCTTTTCTGCAATTCGTATTAATTGTTTATTTTTTATTTTTGCGTCATTCTATCTGTGACTACTAATATAAATTTTTATGAGGAAAATGTCGATAATTTGAAATGAAATTATATATTAATAATGAAAAAGTTATATTTTTGTTCTTTATAAACCATTAATGGACCAATGTTAAATTGCGGTATTTTTACTGCGATAAGTTGATCTTTTGAATATCAATAGTTTCAGAATTATACAAACGCCGCTCGCCATTGAATACTTTTATTTATTTGCTAAATATTCGAGTCTAATGACATGTTACAATAAACTCAATAATTTTATTTTCTATTTTATTAATTTGTTATGGGCATCTAGCAAATAATGTTAAAATTATAAGAATTATAATTGTATTAATGAAACAACTTCTAAAAGTGAAGGTCAACTTAATTATTCGCTGCTTAATTATTGCAATTAATTAGCTGAAAATGAGTCCAAGGAAGAGTCGAAAGTTTCTGTGTTTAGATTTCCAACGAAACAAATTGAACCACGCAAAAATCAACCGTTAGCACGCACTGACCTTTACCTTTGCCATTCGCGTTTCAACATAACGACACTACTATTAACTCGAATAACTTTGACTTGACTTGAATTATTCGATCTAATTAATTAACGATCGATCAATTAACGATTGTCAAATAACAAATAATACATGTGGTATGCCGTGTAATTAATATTTCCTAAAATAATCTTGCGTATTATTTCGATCGAGCAAATATATTTAATTGGTGCAAATATTTCGTTCCGTGCTCTCTCGGCAAATTATTAGTTCGGGATTTAATATCAGCATTCAGTCACGCAAACACGTGAAGTTCGACGCGAACGCGGCAGTTAAATAATCACGAGCGGTTCATTAAAATGTGCACGTTATGGGGATTAATAATAAGCGCGGAGGAGAAATTATACTCGTTTAAGCTACTAACTGCAAGAAACGAATATTGCGAATCTGCCGTATCTCCCATCTTTTTCACATAAAATTTATTACAATTACCTTTTATTTCAACTCATTAAAGTCGCGGAGCGTTTTTCTCGCAAGACACTTTTAACTTTTAAATCAACGCGAGAGAAAGTTGATAATAGATTATATAATTATAGAAAGATTGGATATTGAAAATCGATGCAATTAAAAATAATCGCATTGAGAAAGTCGCGGGCAAAAGGGCGGCCAAAGAGGCGAGTAAATTGCCGATCATCGATCATGACGAATTTGAATAGTAATAGCGTTTTTGTGGAAACAGGCGGCAATTTATCTTCCTCCGATTGTGTGTATTGTTTGTGCCCGCATTATCTAACAAGGCCACTCCAAATTACTTTACGATATTATTGCTCTTGCGGTTTATTCAATGGCGAGAAGTGTACTGTGTCAGTCTAAACAATTGATAAGTCGTACACGCATAGGCTTCTAATCGATAATTTGTCTTTGATTAAAGATACGATATGAGCGTGGAGCGGTCGCCGACAAGGTCGTCACCGAGGAGCATGCATCAGCAGCAGCTGCTGCAGGACACGTTCCGGACGGAGGGTTTCTTCCCGCAGAGCGTGAACGACAACCCGGCGCCCTTCTTCGACGAGAATAATCCGGAGTGCTCGTTCGATTGCGTGGACGGTCGCCTGCTGAACGAGAGGCGAATCCGCGAGCGGTACGCCGGCGGCGACGGCGTCGAGAGCTGCAGGTCCGGCCACTCGACGTCCTCGGACGAGGGTAGCAAAGGTTTCAAGATCGAGGGTAGATGCCCACGCTTCGGGTCGAGTTGCGAGAGCGAGCGGAAGTATCATCCAGGCTCGTCGTCGAGTGACAGGTCGACGAGCGACGACTATTGTTCCAGCAGGACGAAGAACAATTATGTGAAGGTGAAGGGCGCCAAGCAGAAGCAGCTGGAGGACGACGAGCTCGACGCGGACACGCGGATTTACGGCAAGAGCCCCAAATTTGACGATAATCTGAGCGGTCTCGCGTCGTTCGACTGCCGGAATCTGAATCGCCGAGCCAAGATCGCCGGCGGCGACCTGCTGACGCACGAGCAGTGTCGATACTACGACGGCGCCGGCGACGACAACAACGTGTCTTTCAACGAGAGCGAGGTGGCGCGCAGCGACGGGGTCGTCTTCAACACTCTCGACGGCTTCGAGAATGAAAACGAGTCCGCTTACCGCCAAGACATGAACTTGGAGAACCGCGAAACGGTGGTCTGCGAGGACATTCCGGAGGACAACCGCCGGGCGCAGCAGGATTATCTGCGCAAGAACGACGAGAGGAAATTCAGCGCCGGCCAGATCAAAAGGCCGCTCTCGCAGGACGAGGACGTGTCCTCGAAGAGCGGTAGGGTGCTCGAGAGCCCGGAAGTCACGCCAGGTGACGTCGGCAGGATGCTGAATCTCGGTAACGCTCTGGACGGACCCAGGCAGGCGCAGGCCAACAAGTACCTCAGCCTGGTCACGCTACACCTACCAGTGATTCTCAGGCTCAGCGTCAACTGTCCCTTTCAGAACGTTAGGATCAAATGCGCGGAAATTCTCCAAATGGTGAAGGTAAGAAACTCAATTTATTCGGAATTTCTCGAATTTGGCCGATGTGCCAAATAATATATATTCTTCGCGTTTAAATAAATCCATGTTTACATTAATTGGCAACCATTTCAAATTAGAGTTCAGGGTTAGAGCTATTTTATATTGCAGCACTATGTTGCGAATTTGTTTCAGTTCTCTTTTTAGTATCTAAGAGTTTGAAATTTTATAACTTAACTTTAAATTAATAACTAAATTTTTTCTCAACGAAGGTCCCCGAAATCGATTTATTTTCGACTTTTCTCTTGTCTCGTGTTGATTCTCGCAATTTTTGAGAGATGTGGAGGAAGTTGCAAATAAAAGAATCTTATATTGACACGTTATTGTTCGCGGTTATCTGTGTGGATTTTGACGGGTATTAAATACCGCACTGTGTGCCTTGAGTCAGAGCACACGGGACATTCTGCAGGAAAAAGAATCTTCGCGAAACGACCGACGATGCGAGAGATAACGGATAGCCTAGATGCGGCAGCGGCCGTGCAAAGTTTCATGGTCTCGGCAGAAGTCTCCGGAGAGCAAAAGTTTGCACTCGGCCGAAATTCTTTTGCAATGGTCCCGCTGAAGTTTGCATTTGCCCGAACATTTCTCATCGCGTATCCACGTGCTTAAAGTTTATTAGGCAACGCGCATCAAAGTTGCAGACAGTATAGTCGGCAAACTCAAAGAACATACCGACACGCGTACATGTAGAATATTATTCTAGAAGTTATTCTAGAAATATCATACTGTTGCAAGAGAAATAAACCCTCTAATTGTATAACGTAAAATTATTTCTACAATTCCTGTTGCAAGTAAAAATTAAAAACATCGCAAGACGTTAATTTTTATTTGTCGCGCTCTTTCTGCGAAATTTAAAATTACTCTAAATTAATTGGAATTTATTAACTTCAATTTAAAATTGAACGAAAAATATTGTACGATCCACATTTTGGTGTCTGAAGCTTAAAAATATTCAGTTTTCTTACTTTAACGAAAATTTGAAGAAAATTTTCTCACGTTTATTGAATCATCCTTAATGTTTTACTGAAATGAAAATTAACTCGTAAATCACCGATATCACAGTTCTGGTGCAAACGCCGCTCTCCTCATTTGGGAACTCCGTGACTTGTAGAGGAAGTGCAATAATTCTGAGATACGCTGTATACATTCCGCGGCGGAATTGAGATTGTCCAGAATATTTCAAGCTTTATCTCTCCAGCTTTGCGGCAATTTATCCGACTCCTCCGCGAAGAGTAACTGCCGTGCGTGATTCTTACGGTGCTGTGACTCTGTATCCTTGCTCTTAACGCGCCGCTGCTTTATAGTCCTGCTAATAAATAAACTACCGCGAGACTCACCTTGCCAAGTCCCGCGGCGGCTATTCGCGCAGTCCGTACAATCGCGAGTAGCCGCTGATTAACTTTTGCATTCAAGTTTTATCTCTTTAGGAGAAAATTAGAACTTTTATTATTTGATCTTACATATCACAGAGTAATATAGTAACTTTAAAACTTGCGGGAGCGCGACAAATAACGATTAAAATCGTGCAAGGACTTTTACTTTTTACTCGCGGCAGGAACTGCAATTTCAAGATACACTGCAATACTTCCTATCTTGAAAATCTTCCCGAAAATCTAGACGAACTTGAAATCTGGACAGTGATTGATGACGGGCGAAGTAATCGTCCTTAACTCAAGCTTAAAAATGAGTGCGTGAGAATAATCCGACGATGGATACGCTTATGTATAAAAAATAAACCAGATAGGAGTAACCGCCGGCTATATTAATGGACGTGTTTTGGCTAGCTATTTGGGAGGTGTTTGAACCACACAGTCTAAAAATATCCCGTACCTAGGCAGGTCGTGGTTAAAGCAACTTTGGCCGATCATGGAGTCGCTCTCTCTTCTTCCGAATTCTACGACAGTCATTAATCTTATTACGGCGCTTAATCTTCCCGGGAGATCACGGTGAAATTGACTGCGCCAATGCGATCGAGAAAAAAAGAACCTGACAATATCTCGGCAATATTATTCTGCATGTTGATTGCTAGCAATGAACGCGAACGCACGCTATAAATGCATCGTAAATATCAGGCGAGCGAGAATCGAGGCGATCGGTATGGTTAAAAAACGTTTCCGGCTGCGTCAACTATTATTTTAGTGTCACTCTCTTTCTCGGACTTCACTTGCAAGGACACCGCGCGCAAAATAATACACTCGGAGCTCGCTTGTCTTTAGTGGTCGAAAGTAGATCGCAAAAATAATATACCTTTGAGATCTTGAGATCAAAGTAACACATACGTTTGCCTTTTTTTTTTTAAATTTCTCACACTATTATAAACTACTGTGAACAATTTTTAGAATAGAATGAAGCTGAAAAAACAGTAAAAATACATTATTTTTTTTTGTTAATCCAGTGTCGATAGTTTTGTGAGGTTGATTAATTTTACGTGTATTTGTAATTGCATTTATTTTCCAATAGCATAAATAGAATCGTGACTTCAATTTAATTATCTCGTACAAAAGATATTTAATAAAAGGCGCGAGACAGGGGCAAATGGATGTAGAAGATAACAGTGCACGAATTCAAAAACGTAATGGATTTTTTTTATCCATTTAACAACAAAAAGCGTTAGACTGCGCGTAAGGTGAATAGAATTCGCTGTTTCGACCGACGGTTATGTTCACCGATATTGTCACACTCGAGGTCGATCGATACGACTTGTGTGTAAAGCTTTACACATAGTACAGAACGGTTTTCAGACACGAAGCCGGTAGAAACCCAGGAAAAGGTGACTTTACATGCATAACATTGTATCGTATCGCGCGACTCCGATAATCACGCATAACTTGTGAAGTATCTCTAATTATCTTACCTTTCCGTGGAGTTGAATATTTGCGTAGATAATAATATCCTTCTATAAATACAGAAAATAATATTTCAAATATTTGTAAATGCGAAATTTCAGTTGCGATATAATATGATTAAATGTACACTGAATTTGTATTTATTTTCGTAAATATTAATAATCCGTGTAATCCATATATATTAATAATTCGGAATAAAATATTAATTAATATCTTTTAAAGGATTAAAGATACATAATATTATGAGGTTTTGGTCATTTTGAAATTATAAATTAAAGCAATTATTTAATTATTGGAATGTCAGTATGTTTTTTTCTCAATTTGCTAATTTCAGTAGCATAATTTATACACGTAACATTATAACGTAAAACATAACAATTTTGAAAATTTATAATTAATTAATATTACAGTGAGAGACAAATATCTGATGAGAATAAAAATTTTATATTTCATAAGAAAGTTATATTTTTTTATTTGCTATTTGTTTAATATCGTACTTTTAATTTTGTTGTACCAAAATGTCATCTTTCTTAGTTTTTTATTTTGATGAAAACTTAAAAAACGTTTTACAATATTTATTTATAGTTATTTTTTACGTAACGTGTCGAAAAAGAAAAAGAATTCATTCAACGTGGAACTCACGCTCTACCTACCGACTGATTGTGAATTAACTCTTAGGAGTGTCCCCTCTTGTTTTGCTAGTTTCGAGGGCAATGTCAGACGCAATACATACAAGAATACGTACGTGTAAGAATACAGATTGTGTGGATTACTGCAGAAGTTGATTTTTGGTTACAGGATAGAGGACTTCCAGTACCAGTGCCAGCTTTCGATGGACCCAGTGCCTTCGTTCCTCTCGCGGAGGTAAGTAACTTTGCATGCATCAATTGGTTTTGTAGATTAGTATGTCAGCTTGCGTTTACGGCGAGCATTTCGCACCATTCCGTTTAAAAGCGTCAATTGAAGTCGGTTGAAGCTCAACCTAATGTTCTAGTCGTGTCCATTTCTAGTTGTGTTTTTGCAAAGAGGTAAATTCGGTTAAACCGCGTTTAATTAATCTTTGTGGAAACGGTTCTTTGTGCCCGTTGTGTCTTTAGCTCATCGATGCCTGTAGAACTTAAACAACTTTGTTATCAATGCAGCATTAACGTTATCTTATGCGAAAGCGCAAATTGCAGTTTAACGTTGGCTGCATAAAATCGTGCTTGGAAACAAATGAAAGTAAATACATATGTTAAACGCAGTGGTAAAGAATATATTTCAAGATTACAATCAGTCAGTTTGTTTACAAAAATAAATGCACATTTGTAAAATATTTATTCGTGCTTATTATTGCAATAATATTTAATTTGAAATATCTCATTTTTTATATTTATCTTATTTTATCGCAATAATTGATATCAAATGAGACTTTTTTACTTTGAACGAGGCATATGAGCCTCATGCAAATAATTCTAATAATTTAAATTACACAAATCCGCGATCGGCGATGCGTTAAAGTGGATGCTTTTCTTTTCATTTTATTTTATTTTTTTTAGAGATCGGCACAGATAACTGAATTATTTTCGCTCGCGATTGCCGATACAAAAAGTAGGACATGAAAAACGAATCGGTTGACGTTGTCGCGAAATCTGGGTCATTGCATTGGCGCCAGCAGAGTCGATGATTTCGCCAGCTGATTGGCAATAGTCGGTAACGAGTCAGCTCTGACGATTGGATCGTGCTCTACCGGGTGTTAAGTCGGACCACGCCTACTTGTCCTGCGTTAACCCTTAAGGGGATACTGGAGTCGCCTGTTATTTGTTAGTAAATTATCAGATGATTTGTAAAGTTTGCACTTCTTTTCCTCGCCCGAAATTCATGGCTATGATAATGTACGAGACGAAATAGGAATATGCAAGGTGCCTAATAGATATAAGCTAAATGTGGCAAAATATTTTACTTGAGAAACATCTAACTGGAGAAAAATGTCATGCTTTCCTTAGTTTTATTCTTACGCAAAAAATACAAAATAAATAAATAAATAAATTAATTAATTAATACGTACATATACACACATATTGAATATATAGTTATCTTTTTTGGTATTTTATACAATAACTAAAATAATAAATACTCATCATTTCAGTCATTATTGTATAAAATACAAAATAAAGATAACTATATATTTTATATATATATATATATATGTGTGTATATGTATATATTAATTAATTGATTGATTAATTAATTTTGTATTTATTACATAAGGATAAAAATAAAGAATGCGTATGATATTTTTCTTCAATTAAATGTATAGTATTATATGTACATTTTTCAAATATTATTTTGTCATATTTGTTCATATTTATTTGATACTTTGTATATGCCTATTTCATCTCGTACATTACATATATTTTGGTCTTATGATGGAATTTTGGTTGAGAAAGAAAGTACGAGTGTCGTTTGTTTACAAATCATCCGATCACAAATACATAGATCACACGTCAATGTAGTAAATTATTAATATAAATACAGTTAGACGGGCATTACGTCGGTGATGTCAATATCATTTTATCATTTTCATTTAAATGATGGTGTTTTTGCGTTGAAGTTTCAGCTATCACTTCAGCATCCTCTTAATTTACTTTAATTAAGCGCGTTTATGCCGTCTCTGCTGGCTAGAATCTATTTTTTACGACGCGTGAAGAAAACTGCATTGCCGATCATATAAATGTAACTAAATCCAGACAGATATTGCTGAAAATATTTTTTTATTTTCAAAAGAAAATTTTTAATCTATTCATTAAGAAAGATCACACAAGGATTATAGTTCGTATTGATTTTTTTATTTGTTTATCTTTTGAATTTTTACATGCTTCTCTTAATCGCTTATTATATTTTTCAAAATTGTATATATTAAATCAAAAGAGATTTATTTCTTTTCTTTTCATTTTATTTTGCAAAATACAAAATTTTCAAATTTTATCAGTGAAGGATAAGAGAGATATTGATTGCAGTGCTGCTTTATAGGTGGCGCCTATGATCAAGTTATCGCGCGATTTTAAAGCGCGTTGTAATTAGCATGATTAATTAGCACTGTTTGATAAAATCAGTGCAGCTTTACCACAGATATTGAATAAATTTTCGCGCTATTAAAAGTCGCAAAGGAAACTCAGTTCTCATTGATCCAAAGAATTTTAATTAGTTATTTAATTATCGTTAATGTCACTTATTAATATTATAGATTATTAATATTATTTCGTTGCCACGAATTTTAATATATTTTAATAATGTGAATATTCGAATTCCGTGTCGCACTCGGGAATCGCTGATGCAATGTGCAACGCACTGTATACATTAACGGGAAACTCATTTTACGCTGCAATTTATATCATGATGGTTAATAAACAAGTTTATCGCGATTTATGCGCGAAAACAGGCAACCCGGTTTTGCGATCTACATTATTATCGGGCGAAATATTAGGTAATGCGATAATTCGGATAACAATTTTATGTTTTTTTTTTCTTTGCGCAATTCTACCGGTTTAATAAACGCTATCGTTCTCATTTCGAATAACATTGTAACTCGCCTTGGCGATACACGCGTTGCGTAAGATGAGGAGGGAGGGCGAACGTTACTCGATTATCTCAAAACGTGCGCTGCGCTCGTAATAGTTATCCGCACGTGCTGTACAGTGTGGTTATCAATATACGATTGTGTGAAGAAAAAGTATAATTACTCTGCTCTTTGTAAACAAGTTTGGTCATCGTATGTACGGAGTTAAAGACAGAGTATTTTAGAAAAACGCGAATTTGAAGTTAATACAGGAAATTTTGATTTAATTATTACATTGAAATTATGTAGTCATTTTATAACGCTTTTTGATTTATTAAGCAAGAAAGTAATTTTTTTTAAATATGTTTTAAATATGTTCTTTAGATATTGGAATTTATAAAATTCGTTTTTCCAGTTGTGTATCTGACATTAATGGGACGAACGTGGACACACAAATTTGTGTCTATATTCGTAATAATATATTCTTTCTCAGCAGAGAAATTGTGCTGTGAATACTATTTGTCTGGAAGAAATTCTTACCTTTGTGATTTTTACAATCTGTTACAAAGTGTATCTTTGGAGCTACGCCTTAGCAACAAACGACAGGTAAGTGACATAATTATATAAAATATATAATTTTACTCAAATGAATCGCACACGTTGGCTTTATTGAGACGCATTGTTTGTGACACTTTTCATCTTTTTTGTAAAACAAAGGATTTTTGGTGGGAACAAATATTTTTGCCTCAAATAATATATATTTTGCTTCATGCAAAATATTTTTGCCCTTGTTAATAATACGGATAACTATTTTTGAAGAAAATATACAAAAAAGGATAAAATACATTAGCTTGACAGTCGTTAAAAAAGGTATTAAACAAGCGTGGTTATGGAATAGCAGTGGTTATTTTAATCGTAAGGCGTTATTGTAATTTTCTTGTTATAAGTTACTGAAAGGTAAACAACTTTATCTCAAATATTTCAATACCTCAAGTATTTTTAGTATGGAAAGTCCTCTCGATGTGATATATTGCTTATTGATTCCTCTGTCATCTTTACGCTCTTCGCGTCGCCGAACACGAAGTGACTATCGATCATCGGGAACTCGGATATCAACCGATGATGTATCGCTCAGTCGACGATTTTTATCATTTTTTTCAGATCCGCGCAAGATCTTACTTGTGTAACTGACATGCGATCCATTTGTCATGCGCGTAATATCGTGCTCGCGATATCATGCTCGGCATCTATGAATGCAAGTATGAATAGATATTGCGGAAAGAAAACGCATAGCGGATTATGTAAAAGCGCGCAACTGTGCTCGCTGTTTAATATATTAACTGACGCGACTGAAAACATTAATTAGGAACGTGTTTTGTCAAGCAAGTCGTATAATTTTAATATCTTTCATATATAAATGACGCTTTTTGACGATGTTTTTTTCTTTCGCCTTCTTAATAAAGAATTTTATTGTTCGGTTTTTATTCGCCGGTGCTTTTATCGGATTACTCGAAAATATATCTTTCCTCTTATAACTCCTATATCTCATATCCGCGCCGGTCAATTTCCAAGGGATATTATCGAACATTCTACTTTGCGGTAGTTCCCCGGGCATCGAGGCGTCGTGTATCGGGAATGGCTCGAATAAATGAAGTTTCACTTTACCGGCGGTACTCTGCCACGTGCAATGGCAATTCGACGCTATTTCTCGAAATCGAGTTCAAAGCGATCTCGAATTTTTTGACACGGCGGACAATTTGCGCGGCATATTGCAGAGATATTTGAAAGTTTTTCGAAAAATAAAACGCGTCGCGGGTACGCGACACGAGGCTGAAATGGGGAGGAGCTGAAAACTCGCAGGAATCTTAATCGGGTCAATGGATATTGTTCCTGGGTCAAGCGACTGCGAATAGCTTATACGTGCCTCATACACGGGTTCCATTAGAGCCCGAATTGAATCCTCGATCTCATTTGTTCCCCCTCATTCGGGAATAATCTGTATTACGCAATCTCGCTGATAACGCACTTACGAAAATAAACGATGAGCACTCCATATCTGATACGATATTTCCTCTTATCTGCGTCCAATTTGCAGAATTATTAATAAGATATTCGCGGAATATCTTATTTTCATTTGAAGATACTTGAACTTTAACGAAAGTTTTAGGAACAAATAGAATTCTTTGTGAGACAGACACTTTTATAATCTTATAATCTTATTGCATCACAGGTGCAATTGAGTTTGTTCAATATTAGATCGGCATTTCTCCGGTGTTCCACTTTTTATCTCCGCGAACACTATTTTTTCCTTCGTAAGTAGATATTA